AGGCGATAAACATCATTGAGTTTCATCCCGTTATATTTCGGGTAAGAAATGAGATCTTTGGTTACTGTTAGTAATACCTCGTATTCCTTATCACCAGATAATGAGTGTTGCCCACCTGGAAATAACGTCACCAAACAGATGAACGCAGGATTTTACCTTGATGTCCCTCAGGGCACAGTATAAACTTTTTCTGCATCCAGTCTCAATCTGTGTAATGGACACACATTTGTGCATCGTATAAAACCCTGTGATATTGTGTTTTGAAAAACATTATAATGTCTTGCAACTTGCATGCCCATGGTGCATAGATGTTGACTTTCAGCAACCCTTGGTATTGCGTAAACGTTATTTACGGTTAAACAAAAGTGTTTTTATTAGCACCTGAAAAACGTTAAAAAACCTGTCATGCTCTAAACAAACACACAAACTTAATAAAATCCTAGATATTTTTATATTTGTATACTTATCCTGCATTACTCCTTAATGCATTTACTGCTTGTTCTTGGCAGTGAGAAAGAGCTGTGTGAGGTCTTGCTGCATCTTTGGGAAGTAGGTCTGTGATTGGCGGGCCACTTTAGACATAGTAATGCAGAATAAGAATACAAATATGATAAATATCTGGGATTTTACTAGATTTTTTAAACTTATCCTGCACTACTCCTTAAGTTATCTTTATCCGTTGGTACGGTGGAGGAGGGCATACCTTGAGAAGTGATCTTCAATAAAATTCTCCAAAACTCCAGCCAATCAGCAAAGGCGATATCCCGGCATCAAATGACCATTCCTGTTGACAAGGAGGGAGAAAGTGAGATATGCGTGAAGTCCAGGTATCAATGCAGTCATGGAAGTTAAATGAAATTAAAGTCTAGAACTGATGTATGCCATGTAGCCTTCTAATCTGGGGTGACACGCACCAGAGAAGAAACAAGGCTGGCTCTGGACATGATGGAGCGTCAAAAGCATCTTGTAGTAGTGACCTGCTGGGCAATCATCAAAGGGCCAAAGCTGTGTATGCCTTCCACATCTTCCAAGGCAACAACTCGCAGGTAGTTGCTGGCGAAGACGCCAGAAGCAGCATATGGTGCATTTGGAGCAGTTGCTGTGGTGCGACATGGTGGAGGCGACCACACGGATCTCTTACGGGTTGCTGGCTCTCAGAGGGTTCCCCAGCGTTGTAGGCCGCAAGAATGATGGTGTGATGCCAGAGGGCGATCGGGGTGGGTGCAGCTGACTTCAACCTGTGATGTCGTTGATACCGGTATGAAGAGGCAGCGGTGTTGTCCACGGCAATTCTTGGAGCGTCGAGTAAAACATTGTAGCACCCTTACCAGTATTTGTTCTTGTTCATCCTTGGTCCCCACTATCGAAAATAGGGGTGGAATGAGGGAGGATCGGTTGGGCTGTCCTGGGAGTTGATTCATGGCTATGAAGTCCGAGATGAACAGATTCATAAGCTCCTTGCTCAAACCGGACACGTGTAACGTCTAGCACATGTAGATCATTTAGAGCTAGAGGCAATAGGAAGACTTTCTAGTGCAGTTATAATACAACTCTGAATGGAGTGGTTCAAAAGGCGCGCCTGTCAGTAGTGTAAGGACCACGTTCGCTGGGGGTCAAAACTTGGCCTTCTGGTCTTCCAGACGGAAGGAGCGAAGTAAAGCTTGGAGTTCTAAGATCTCCGATTTTCCGATTTGAGGGCCACAAGGTAGATTGTGCTTACTCTTCAGATGAAGCTTTTGGTGCAAAAACAGTAGAATTTCGAAGGAGCTCCAGTTGTCGTCGTACAGACCCCTGTTTGATGGTCTATGCCCAAGGGTAATTGCCCTCACCGCTCTAGCTGAGTAGTCCTTTGCACTTAAGGCTCTTGTAATTGTACCAGACATGCAAATGTAACCTATCGTGTCTGACGGACCGTTTGCAAGGCAATACATCAGCAAATTTGGCCAGTCTGAAAATTCGAGAGGGTCGGTGGTGGTTGAAGGGGACGCTGAAGGCGTCGACTGTCCAAGTCTGTGGCTATGATATGAACGTCCGGACCTGGTAGTTGTGGCTGGTGGCAAACAGGTTTATGTTTGGGTGGCTGAGACTCTGACAGACAAGAGCAAAGGCGTCCTGATGTAGTTTCCACTCTGTAGGAGCTACCTTGTCTGGGCTTAAGAGGGTGTCTGCAAGGATGTTGCAACAGCCTGGTATGTGTTGGAACCGAAACTATAGTTCCAATTGATTGACTAAGTGGAAGAATCAGAATGTTTGTTGTAGGAGTTAGAGGGAGTGGGTCGTTACATGATTGCAGAGGCACCATACGACAGTGATGTTGTGCGTCGATATGGTGATCCAAGTGTGCAGGAGTGTCTGTTTCCAGTGAGAGAGAGCAAGTATGAGCGCCTCAAGTTTGAGGTTGTTGATGTGCAACTGTTGTTGAGCGGCGGACCACAGCCTCCATGTGCACTCTGGATCCTAAAAGAGAGATGTTGATGAATAGGTGTAACAAGGTCGTAAGCTCTGTCAAGAAGACGCCACCTAAGACATTTGATTCCACCGTCCACCATCGGAGGTGGGGTTTGAGACGGTCGAGGAGGAAGATGGATTCTAACTGATCTTGGAGCCTGATGTAGGGGCCAAGTAACATCTGTATGGGGCGCAGTTGGAGCCTCCTGCCTGGAGTGCAGGGAGTAGGTGGAGTTACATTCGGTGCCACCTGTTCCTTAGTACAGAATGGAGGTCTGGTTGGTTTGAAATAAGCCTCCGATGAATTGGAGATTGAACGAAGATGTGAGCTCTGACTTCTGCACATTGAGGATCCATCCAAGTTCATGTAGGAGACATTGCTAAGACCCTCTGATGGTGTTTCAGGAGGAAGTCGACTATATACGCCTCGAACTGGACATTCGTCTGGTGGAGGAAGGTGGCTATCGACTTGGTGATGCGAGTAAATAGCCACGGGGCCGAGGAAATGCCAAATGGGATCATTGCCCATTCATAGTGGATTCCATTGAAGATGAAACAGAGGAATTTCCTATCGTTGGGATGGATTGGTATGTGTAAGTAAGCATCCTGGATATCCAGGCTGATCAGTGAGTGAGTCGTGAGCCTATTTCTTGGACGTGCGTAGCCTGAGTGTCGTCATCCGGAAGTATAGTGGATGTGCCAGGTAGCGCTTGTTGAAGGTGGCGAGATTGTGTATCATTCAGAATTGGTCCGAGTCCTTCTTGGGGATAAGGAATATTGGCGAATAGAAGCCTGGTGATATGGCTGGGGAGTGGAAATCTCTATGGCCTCTTTGGCCACCAGCATGTCGATGTTTGAGCGCAGTAGTTGCTGTTGAGTAGAGGGGTAAGCATCTGCTATTGGCGATGATGTCAGAGGCGGATCGTCTCTCAGAGTGAGTTCGTACCCTAAGCGCAGAATGTTTACGTTGTATGGGTCCCCCAAGATTTCCCAATTTCGCCTGCATTGACCTAGCCTCCCACCTACCGGGGTCTCAACAATGGGAACAACTGGAGGTGGGAGGTCCCAGTTGTCTGTGTCTCTCGAAACAATGCTCACAGCTCCCTCCTTGGGAAACGTCACGTCGAGGCTGGTATGATCCGAAGACTTCCCTTTTACTTGGTTCCTGCTGCGAAAAGTGGAGGAGTCATGTCCGAGTGGCTTGAGAGAGTTCCCCCCGTGGTGGTAGTTGCCTAAACTGGAGGGTTTGAAGGATGCAGAGTGTGAAACGTGAACCACGGCCTTGAGGGCAGTCTCGTCTCCGGCAAAGCTGGATACCCCAGAGTGAATGGCAGATACTTGTCCATTAAAGGGGGCAAAATTGGCACCTGAGAGTAGACAGAAGTGAACATAGGCGACATATAGGTGGTGACAGATGTTGTCGGGGGAGGCGTAAAAGGTTCATAAGCGTCGACATTTTATGGCGTTGGTGTATCCTGGCCTACAGGGAATGCTGTTTCCATGACGCTTGGATATATTTTGCGAAAGCTGTTGGGGAAAGTGGGAGACAGTCTTTACATTTGGAAGTCTGGGTGCAGATGGTGGTGCAATTTAAGCACAATGGATGTAGATTCCACCCAGACTTATTATAGCAACACTTGCTACAACTTGGAATGTACCTGCAATAATAACAGGGTGTAATCAAAATGCGTCCCCGCCCGATTATGTATGCTTTAACTGTTTGTCCCAGCCATGTGGGTTTATGATAAACAAGTTTACGCAAACAACGTGAAACACCACCACTTTCATAAACAATATTATTGCAAAAATACAACAATAAATGTATTACCAGGCAATACAAAAAATACAGAAAAAAAGCACGACCATGAACAATGTTCAAGATGGTAACTTGAAACAACAACACACCTGTGGTTACCGTGGTGAATACCATCATCAGGCCTTAAATATTTATGCTATGGCATAAACCATATGAAAAAAATGAAAACACGAACCATAAGCACAATATAGTTCACAAAGAAAACTCTAGAGTTTGTCAACACGTAAAGGATTCTATGAAATATGTTGAGATTTCAACACAGGTCTTTATTCCTTGGGTGACACCAGTAATGTGATGACCCATGGCATCACCCCTTCACATGGGAGCTGTGGGGTAGGGTTAACCACTCAGCTAGTTGAAACAACTTCTTCTTCAGCAAGACCTCACAGCTCTTTCTCACTGTAAATGCATTTAGGAGTAATGCAGGATAAGTTAAAACATATATAAATTGTGCATCCTGAATCAGGACCTTAAAGTCAAGGTGTCTTTATGAATATGTATTGAAAGATGCAGCACTTAATTTTAGAATATATTTAATTTTACTGGACTTTATTTGAGGCACAATTACTTTTTTCTGTTAGTATTTGAATATTGTGCCCCTGATGTTGGTCATATGTCCCAGGTAAACATGGTGCGGATGTGTTCCTGTTCAGGATGTTAATGGATCAAATCCATTTCATGTATTTGTTTCCATCATTAAAGTAGTAGTGTCACTTATGAAATATGCATGTTTCAGATTGAAGTTGATTGGGAGAAGATTGAGGCCAAGATAGAAATGGAATATCAGAAGGAGCGCGAGCGTCCATCAGGAGGAAGTACATCGGCGTCCAGTACATCTCACCGATCCCGCCCAGGGCCAACGCCCTCCACAACGTGATCTACTGGCCTCACCTCCACAAACAGTAGCCTATTAGCAGTCAGGAACTACTTATACAAATAGCAGATTTCATGAGAACGTCAATGTCAGTATCAATGTTTGTTCATCGATCATTATAATGGATCGATGACACAAGTTTGAGATGCATACTCTACATCGCTTGTCTGAATGTCATTTTCAACTTCAATCTGTAGTTTAGATTATGATTATGACACAGTGTATACCCTGCTATAGTCTGGGTATCAAGTCAGGCCTACTGAGATGAATGAAAGTAACCTTATTAAATCACAGTCTCGTTAATTGACAAATGACAACATCAAGAGTACTATGATATCGTATGGAATATGATAAGATATAGAGGTGGTGGTCAAGGACAGAGACGCCTTGCTTGCTTGCCCTATTAAAGGCTTAAAAAATAAAAGAATTCGTTCTCAGGCAATGGCTTTTGAAAATATATTGCGGGTGGGCGACCACTTTTATTTTGTGTCCTAACAAGTATGTAACTAAATAAACAGTCGGAAATGACCTCCCTACATAAATGTATTCCTTGAGTAAAATACTGGAATACAGTATTGGACTACCGTTTGACCACCAGTGTGTGCATAATACACTCACACAATGAGCTTCAATTATATTTCTCAACGCAAAGACGTTATTGTCAGCACAAAGTCTTAAAGTCTTCGGTCTTCCTATCACTGTATTGAAATTTCTTTTCAGTTATGATATTTACCATGATATTAAGTATATATTAAACTAAATCACCCGTAGATCTAGGAGAACGTGTCCAGCTGATTGCTATTTCAGGCTTATTTTACAAGACAAATATACACATAATCTTAATCTCTGCATATGAAACATTTACCCCATACAGTAAACAAATACCATATAATTTGTAAATCATCAAGTCTAGTGATGTTTTTTTGTAAATTTCATGTTTTCATTGACCAAATTTGCAAACGGCAAAACTAGCACACAAACTCTTATTTTGCTACCATGACCATAACACAAGGTGAGCAGTGAACCAATGTGCATGTAAAGGCAAGAAACGGCACGCTACATTGCAACATTTCACTGCCGGGGGGCGTGTTTTCGAGACGCATATTATTTAAGGATTTTTTAGTGTTTTAGAAAATGGAACCAAAACATGCGGCAGACTTTGTGAGGATGCAGCTGTGCCTGCGAAACAAGACTTCTTCTTTTTTTTAGCCTAAACATACTGTAAACCAGAATGGACATGGTAACCAATAAGAAAGTCTGTGTCTAGCACTAAACAACCTTGTTTATTGTGATGTGATATGTACCTGACACAAGCATCAACTCCAGTGCTGGCATAAGTCCTTAAGCGAATTTACATGTGTGCATGTCTAGATCCAACATGGCAGCCATTGTACCATTAAATCAAATTGTACTACAGGCATGTCCTGTCATTATGTATGACCTATACCTAACTGACCTGTATGGTCTCCGATCTGTTAGGGTGAATCATGTACTATTCAAATCCATCAGTGAAAAGAAACTTACTGTGCATGTGACCTCAGACTGAGACAACATTTACAGGTTGTTCTGTACACATAAACATTACCGGTAGTCACACTGCCCTGCTTGCAAGTCCGGGTATCAGCCTTCACCCTGCTACAGGTAATCACAACTAGGTTATTGTTAAGTTTAAGTCGTATGAGCGATGACATGTTGTCATTTATTGAAAATTCTTCATGGGAAAGTCTAGATGTGACACCTTACATCTAGGGTATGTCTAGCTCCTGGACAGGAGTGCTATAGATGGTTCATGACTTGCAAATCAATCTCACTCAGCTGAATGCTATCAGTGTGCGAGCTTAGCCTCAATTTTGAAATTGATATCTTTTCCCGTAAAAACCAAGCCTCGTTCTCAAATGCGACCTACAAACAGTAAATACAATTTGCTAGCAGATGACATATTCACTCTCTAGTTTCTGTCAGCTGGATAAGGGGGGCACGGGTGGCCCAGTCGTCTAAGGCGCTACGATTCGTTGTGCAGAGTTGCGTCCCTTGGGCATGCCAGAAACCTATGATTGTGGGTTCGAATCCCGGTTCGCCCCGATTATGTTTCTAGGTTTGTCAGCACCATACCCGTGCTCGTGGGTTTCACCGAAGTGGTAACCGTCTGAGACCTGCATCACTTCGGGCTTTCCTCCCACATTAAGCTGACACGCCGCGATATAACTGGAATACTGTTAAAAGCGGCGTTAAACCCAACTCACTCACACACTTTGTCAGCTGGATAAACAGGTTGCTACTAAAACAACTGTGTTTTTGTACTTTTATTAGTTTTCCATGTTACGAAATATATTCACTGAATATTCATGCTTTTCACCTGGGTGATAAGGTTTATTCATTTCATGATGGGGACCATCTTTGATAAAATGTTCCCAACTGTATGCATACCTGACGGGCTGCATGGGCTACCATAATGATACGATGTCTTACATTTTTTCTCAGGAGGAATGCCATCATTCCAGCTTTTGTTTCTATTTCCTTTCTGACTTTTTGGATGGCATAAATGCACACACATTCACAAGATGCAAAATTCTGCTGGCGTTTACAAGTTCTACATAATATTAATGCATACACAAGCCTTATTTGTAAAAATGTACTCTTGATATTTTCCACTTGAAAATTCATTAGTTTTAGAGGCGTCAGAATTCCAATATGTTCATACCTTTCTTGACAAATATTCAGTGGTGTCAGTTGGAAGTCGCATCATGATAAATAGTTAGTAAGAAACTGGTATTCCAAGTGAGTGCCAAGAAAATAACAGTTGAAACACACAATTTGGCCATGATTGGATAAAAATGCAATAGCCAAGGTATAATCCAAAAGCAATCGTCAAACACAACAGAAACAGTAGAATACTGCTACAGCAGATGATGGGTTTGAGCCAATCATTTTACTGGTCACGTGACTAAAATCTTGACTACTTCCGGTGCTGTGAAGGGTTACTTTTCCTAATTAAAACTAACAAACCAATACATATTTGAGATTTAAGTTCTGATTTATTTAAGCGCAAATGTCTGTTCAGTGTGATAACACTCACAAACTATGTCCAGACAGCTTAAGACAGAAAGAACCAAATGTCAAACACCACAACCTGTAAACCATCAGTTTAGACCCCTGACACACAAATTAGACCCTCAATGACATATCAGTCAACACAAATTTAAACAAACGGTGTAAAACTGCCCTAAAGTAACATATCTGTCATTAGGATGTGATGCTATCAGTAAGGTGCCAGATTTATTTATGTATCTGGCTGCTCTGTGTGGGACTTTTTGGTCACTTCGAGGGGGAAACTGGGGACTGTCTTTTATCCAATTAAAAACATGTTTACAGTTGTAGCTCCTCCTATTTTAAGTTGGATATATGAAGCTTAGTGATCAGTGATTGCAGGAAACATAGGAATTGGCCCCTCCTCCCCTTAAGATAGATGGAACCCATATTTTTGTGAATGACTTCTACCCTGTGAGAGAATATTTTGAGGTCACGTGACTTCAATAAACATGTTCTCACAACTTCTACAGTGCATGGATGGGTTATATTTTGGTAGTATTTTGATAAATTGACATATGTGGAAATGGGAAATATATGAAAACACTACATGTTCATATAGGATTTGTAATAAAAGTTTTATATGAGGTAGGCCCAGGATTTTTCACTTCCTGTGACAGGGGTTGTGACGTCACTATGGGGATTTTAGCATTGAATCTATTTATAACCTGTGTGAAAGCGAGGCTTGGTTTTCATCTACCGGTATAAGCGGTAACATAGGCTGAACTCTCACACTGTATGGTGTTTCTGTGACTGTTTTATCTTTGTTTGTATTTAGCATCTTGACATGTTCCTTCTTGTACATATTGATTTACCTGTGATACCATTTGTGGTACATTCCATGTTTCATGAACAAAGTGTACAAACAACAATCCGTCCATGTTGCCTATTCTATCATTTCCTCGACAAGATTTTTTAATAAACCAATTTGAGAACAAAAGCGAGGACATCTTTTTACTCAACAGCCACTCCAGAAAGATTACCTCTTAGACTGCAGGTTTGATGACAGGTATGTCGGTTTATGTAACATCGCCTGCACAAACTGCACGTTTATTGGCGCCAGTATGTTGTCTCAGTAGTATTGACCACTGACCCTTCCATGGAAATTACGTGATCGGGTGGTCAGGCTCGCTGACTTGGTTGATGCAAGTCATCGATCCCAAGTGCGTGGATCGATGCTCATTATATCAATCACTGGATTGTCTGGCGTAGACACAATTATTTACAGACCGCCGTCATATAGCTGGAACATTGCTGAGTGCTGCGTTAAACCAACCAATACTAATACTAATACTAATGGTCTACTTCTAACAATACTAACACAATACTAATGGTCTACTTCTAACAATACTAACACAATACTAATGGTCTACTTCTAACAATACTAACACAATACTAATACTAATGGACTACTTCTAACAATACTAACACAATACTAATGGTCTACTTCTAACAATTCTAACACAATACTAATGGTCTACTTCTAACAATACTAACACAATACTAATACTAATGGTCTACTTCTAACAATACTAACACAATACTAATACTAATGGTCTACTTCTAACAATACTAATAGTCTATATCACACAATACTAATACTTATCTATTAATAATAACAAACCTAATACACACAATGAATTAATAACAGCAAGAATGTACAAATATACAAAATCAACCACGCCACTCCACTGCCTCTTTCACAGTAGGGGCGGTCGGGTAGCCTAGTGGTTAAAGCGTTCGATCGTCACGCCGAAGACCCGGGTTCGAATCCCGACATGGGTACAATGTGTGAAGCCCATTTCTGGTGTCCCCCGCCGTGATATTGCTGGAATATTGCTAAAAACGGCGTAAAACCAAACTCACTCACTCACTCTTTCACAGTAGCTTTACAGATAAACTTGTACAGTTTCTGATGTCACTGCACTATTAGTTCACAAGATAGCCCTTCCTCTGTATAGTGAATGTGTGATCTTCTCACCAAAGCGATGGTTTCCCCACGGAGTTGAGGGTGCCTGTGTTACTTGGATATCCCTGCTGTGTTCGTCCTGTGCTACGCACAGCCACAGAAATACTTCTCTCCTTATGTAGTGTGTGAGGTACTTCTTTCCCCCTTACGTAGTGTGGGAAGTACGCCTTTCCTCCTTATGAGGTACTTCTTTCCTCCTTACATAGTGTCGGAGGTACGTCTTTCCCCCTTACGTAGTGTCGGAGGTACGTCTTTCCTCCTTACGTAGTGTCGGACGTACGTCTTTCCCCCTTACTTAGTGTCGGAGGTACGTCTTTCCTCCTTACATAGTGTCGGAGGTACGTCTTTCCCCCTTACATAGTGTCGGAGGTACGTCTTTCCCCCTTACGTAGTGTCGGAGGTACGTCTTTCCCCCTTACGTAGTATCGGAGGTACGTCTTTCCTCCTTACGTAGTGTCGGAGGTACGTCTTTCCCCCTTACGTAGTGTCGGAGGTACGTCTTTCCTCCTTACGTAGTGTCGGAGGTACGTCTTTCCTCCTTACATAGTGTCGGAGGTACGTCTTTCCTCCTTACGTAGTGTCGGAGGTACTTCTTTCCTCCTTACATAGTGTCGGAGGTACGTCTTTCCTCCTTACGTAGTGTCGGAGGTACGTCTTTCCCCCTTACGTAGTGTCGGAGGTACGTCTTTCCCCCTTACGTAGTGTCGGAGGTACGTCTTTCCTCCTTACGTAGTGTCGGAGGTACGTCTTTCCTCCTTACATAGTGTCGGAGGTACGTCTTTCCTCCTTACGTAGTGTCGGATGTACGTCTTTCCTCCTTACGTAGTGTCGGAGATACTTCTCTCCTTACGTAGTGTCGGAGGTACGTCTTTCCCCCTTACGTAGTGTCGGAGGTACGTCTTTCCTCCTTACGTAGTGTCGGACGTACGTCTTTCCCCCTTACTTAGTGTCGGAGGTACGTCTTTCCTCCTTACATAGTGTCGGAGGTACGTCTTTCCCCCTTACATAGTGTCGGAGGTACGTCTTTCCCCCTTACGTAGTGTCGGAGGTACGTCTTTCCCCCTTACGTAGTATCGGAGGTACGTCTTTCCTCCTTACGTAGTGTCGGAGGTACGTCTTTCCCCCTTACGTAGTGTCGGAGGTACGTCTTTCCCCCTTACGTAGTGTCGGAGGTACGTCTTTCCTCCTTACGTAGTGTCGGAGGTACGTCTTTCCTCCTTACATAGTGTCGGAGGTACGTCTTTCCTCCTTACGTAGTGTCGGAGGTACTTCTTTCCTCCTTACATAGTGTCGGAGGTACGTCTTTCCTCCTTACGTAGTGTCGGAGGTACGTCTTTCCCCCTTACGTAGTGTCGGAGGTACGTCTTTCCCCCTTACGTAGTGTCGGAGGTACGTCTTTCCTCCTTACGTAGTGTCGGAGGTACGTCTTTCCTCCTTACATAGTGTCGGAGGTACGTCTTTCCTCCTTACGTAGTGTCGGATGTACGTCTTTCCTCCTTACGTAGTGTCGGAGATACTTCTCTCCTTACGTACTATGGGGATAACGGACCAGTTCCGGGATATTACAATATAATTTTAGCAACTACAGTCATTTGGGTATGTGTCAATACATCACAATACATACAACAATGCATCAATACTCTGATTTACATTTCACTGAGTTGAACTGGTTATACTTTAATCGTATTTAGTTGTTTAGGGTTGTTTTAAAGTGGCTTCTCGATATTATATTCAATATATGAATATTATTACATCTAAAAACAATACATTAAAAAATCTATCTTTAGTGTATACAATCCTACATGAAACAAATATATTTTTAAAATCTTAATTTGTCTTCGTGGTTACTTCAACACGTGGCAATACCCAAGAGCTGGAAAACAAGGAAAGCAACAGTCCATGAGAGGAGGCATACCAAGGCAAGAAGGAGGTGGCTGGGAGTAGCAGAGGCATGTGAACAGAAATGAAGGTTGACATTGGCACGATTACAGAAATTCCAACATATTAGAGCTTTGCAGATTTGGTTAGTTCCTTGAAATTAAGGATTGTTACTTGGCTCCATTTGGATTTTATTATTTTTATATTTTAGATATATATTTTTAGATAAGATAACTTTATTTTTGGTACGAAATGTCAGTCTAGCGTTCTGGCAGTCATAGTGATACCACCACATATCACAAAAGAAATCTGTCATGTTGCTTTACGTTGACGTTCGTTAGGACGCCGTTCTAGAAAGTCCAGAGTGAATGTGGACTGGTCAGGAAATATTTAACGAGACCATCGACTATTCCCCCAGTTTCTACACTCTAAACACCATTTTGGTCTGGCTGGAATGTGTCGATTTGTAACAGTGGAACAACACGTGGTCACCGAGTATGCAGATAAGCTGCATGCTGACGATTCCATATCGCCTGGTCAGGAACTTGAACTTGTCTGGCGTAAGTGAACAGCGATTTGTTTTGGGCACGATTTCTTGAAGCCTGGTTTCTGATAAATTGATCCCGCCCAGTGCGTGGCCGATCATCAAGACTTTGTATCTGCGGAAATCTGCAAATCACAGACAGAATCTTTGAGCACTAGCTACCTCTCGCTGAGTTGTGCAAGCTTGAAGCCAACAGTCCTTAGGACCAAAACTCACCTTACCATTTTTGCCCGTCTTTGGGATAATATCTAATGTTAAAATCACTGCCACCGTCAAAGTGACTGCGTTTTTGTGCTGGTTTGCGATTTGTTCTGCGTTGCGATCTTATCAAACTCGGGCTTTTAAACAACATCGCATGATATATCGCAGCAGTGGAATCTAAATGTGATGTATTTTTGGTTCTTAAGACATGTGATTACAGTCATGTGACTTGGATACCAAGTAGTTTTTTTGCAGTTTTTTAAGCACCTAATAGAGGCCATACTTTAAAATGGCACACAAATCGAAACATTGTAATGATGGTGCAGTAGCTGTCGACATAAAAACTTTCTTGCAAATGGTTGAAAGTAGTCCTGCTCTCTACGACAAAACAAATCTCGATAATCGGGAATAATAACGACTATTTTACCTACTGTTAGCAACAATACTAGTAAAGATATCATTTCTTCTTCAAGCATCATCAGCATATTAAGCGACGCCATATCGCAATGAGTTTTCTGCAATCGCAGAAACGCAAACGGTGACAGTGAGTTGCTGGACTAATCACATTGTAGACGTAGCATTCCCAACCTGATCACAAATACAGCAAAAGGCAGGATTAAAGAGATAGTTAAACATGCTCAACAACGTTCCAATATCTTAAAACATGCTGATGGTCAAACCGATAAGGCGATTTGGACAGCCCAGGGCCAGTCTCTCTTCTTGAGTTCGATTCCCGACATGGGTATAATGTGTGAAGCTCATATCTGCTGTCCCCCGACTACATATTGCTGGAATATAGTCAAATAGTATTCTTTATACAGAATTTGTCTAGAAAACACCTTTATCACAATGCCTCGGTCAAATGTGATTATACAACTTTAATCAGAAAATTAGATAACCCACCCTAGCTAGAATAGATAAAAATACCTACGACAGTCACCAACACATCACGCTGTGTCTGACTTAAAAGTAAAGTCGTGTTTATTCTCTCAGATAAGCAGTATACTATATTTTACTATATTAAATCTTAACTACACACTGTTACCTTTGGCAATACCTGCACATTCTTGTGGTGAATTGAACATGTCATACCAAAAGCGTCATATGTGTTTATCAATTTGTACCAGTCATTGTCAATCATTTTATGTCATGTTCGAGATGTACGTTCCTCTTTTATATACCCATGTCTATCTACAATTGATTGTGGCTGACTTGTACACTTAGGTTTTATCCACTCAGGCCTTGAGTTACTGTGTGGGTTGGTCTGGCCATGTCTGTCCTGTTATCATTATCATGATTATTCATTTGTTATATCATTAATAAAGTGTTGAGGACCCACTGATGGATTCC